AACACCTTAAAATTAAAGACAATGGTCATTTAAGCATTCCCAGTTCATTCCTGTCCTCCCTAACAACTGGTCTCAGAGACAACACCAGTCTACAGCAGTTGAGTGTACCCATTCCACTGAATGAAGAAACAATAAGTTTTATTAATGCCATCTCTCAAAAGAACAATCTCACAGAGCTTAAAGTGAATGTTGTAGATCAGTTGCACATTTTAATTGATGATACTGATCAAAGTGACATTTATGATCCATGGGAAGAAGTCAGTGGTCAAAGTGATGATGAATGGGAAGAAGATATTGGTCAAAGTGTTGATCAATTGGAAGAAGATATTGGTCAAAGTGGTGATCAATTGGAAGATATTGGTCAAAGTGTTGATCAATTGGAAGAAGCTATTGGTCATGGTGATGATCAATTGGAAGAAGATATTGGTCAAAGTGGTGATCAATTGGAAGATATTGGTCAAATTGTCATTTGTAATGAGCTTGTCAAAAGTTGGAAAGAAAAGCCAAAAATGTCCTTTTTTTATGAACAGTTAGTACCTGCTGTAACTAACATGTTAAAGTCACATACAACCATCAGACTACTAAGAATTATTTGTAGGCGTGACTTTAGTGACCAGCCATCATTTCAGCCTCACTGGATAGGGTCAGTACTAAATTTACAAGAAACTATTTTCATCCATCCATCACTTGAATATGCTGTGATTAATTCTCGTGCTTTTAGTAGTATTGATACTAGTCCACATTCAGGCCCAGTTCAAGATCAAAAGAAGACATTGATTGATAGACACAAAAAAGAACAGCCACACAAGCCACTACCAGAAGTGTATGTAGTCTAAAAAATGAGCTTAACGGTATGTTATTTTTTGGCGAATTTTGAAGTATTGTATAACTTAGTAGTTGCTAACTTGCTATCATTATTAAATTAGCATAAGTTGTATTCTTTAGTATTTTTTATTTGTGTCCATTATAGTATTAAAATAACTTTAATTAGTATAATATTTTCTAGCTGGACTTTTTGATGTGGGTGGGTAACATGTTACCTGAAATATAATCTCTACTTGAGGCAACATGACAGGTACTAGTAACAAATTGTCTAGTGGATATTTAATAGTTTTATTTAATGCTTCATACAGTGAGTGAAATATTTAGGGTAAAATTACAAATCTGATTGGACATGACTAAGAAAAATAATGAAAATAATTGAAATTGAATTCCTGTTGAAATAATGATGTACTGGTATTATTAGTGGTATACACAGATTATGACTGTATGTGTATAATCTTCCCTGGATTCATGATTCCATTAGGATCCAGTGATTGTTTGATATTCTTCATTACTTGTATTCCAGTGGGCCCGTATTCTTCCTCCAATAGTGTCATTTTACCACGTCCTATCCCATGTTCACCTGTACATGTACCTCCTACTTTTAATGCTCTCCTATAACAGAATAAATAATCATCATATAAATATTGTCATTTGAGTAGTAAAACTTTCTACTTGTTGAGGCATTTACAATTAGCTACATGTACAGACTAGCCTCTATATAATGGACACTTTGGATCAAGAATGTGTCTCTGTTATACAGAGGTGTCCTTTATGTGGAGGTTATTTTATACAGTAAGGAATGTAATTGGTACACTAGGTGCTGTCCGTTAAATGGAGGTGTACGCTATAGAGAGTGTCCATTAAGAGAGACTATACTGTACATACATGTACTATTTAATTACTGGTTCACCTTGCCATGTTGATAGCTAGTTGTTTAGCAATGGATAGTTCTTCATCATTTGATACTAGTAACATTGAATGGAAGTTACCATCACCAACATGACCAATGATAGGAGCTACAGTAAAATAGAAATAAATAAACACATAATAACATTAATAAGCAT